AAGATTATTTTTCAAGGATAGCTTCTTTTGCTAAGCAATTCTATTGTGTTACCTTATTGTGTTCGAATTTCCAATGAATGTACCAAAGAAACTATTTTAAGTTTTATTTATTATACAGAGTGTCCCACGAGATACGCCTCGGACCATAACTCCATAACGGTGCAATTTTCAAAAATTTTGTAAGTGTCCTTTTTTATGTATATTCAAAAAAGCCATCTTTTAAAATTACTTTTCGAAAATTGCACCGTTACGGATTTATGGTCTGAGGCGTATCTCGTGGGACACTCTGTATAAGTAAGTAGGTTGTAGGGTATAGGTTATAGGTAATGGGAAGTGTTTATTTTTTATTAAACAATAAGTTTGTGTTTTTATCTGACGGTGTACCAAAGAATTTTATTTTAAATTTTTCATTATTTTATTGTTATTTATAATTTTTTAATAAAACTTTAAGAAAGAAAAATCAGCAAATGTTTTTTATTAAACAGTTATTTTATTTAACCTCACTGTGACACTGTGTATCAAAAAATGATATTTCAAATTTTATTTAACATAGATTTTTAATTCTTTTTATATTTTTATAAATTAACTACATAAATAATAATCAAGCTTTATGTGCGCAAATGTTATTTGTAGTCGGAATATTCATAAAGTATTCATATGTAAATGAATCCAGGTATTCGAATACAGCGGTATTCAAATACTTTTTTTTCTTTGTATTCGAATATTGATTATTCGAATACAATTTAGAATACAGTATTCAGGATTCGTATTCGAATACCGGATTTCAGTATTCGACCCAACTCTGATCCCAATATACTCATGATTTAACATAAATTTTATCTAAAATTTAATTACTCATTTATGGGTATTTTTTTTAATATATTATTATGTTAGCACATTCTAGAGGAAATGTTAATCTATGTATTTTAATATCTACATGTATTTTAAATTTACCCTTTATTTTGATTATTTTTCCTACATACTTACAAATTTTGAACCTTATTCTACTATTTCCTATTATTTCAAAATCTTTCAATTCATATTTTGTTGCAGCAAACTGAAAATATTTTTAAAAAGAACATCTTAATTACTACCTCTGGCTAAAATATTAAGTATCTGATAGGAATAGTACCTGAAATAAGAAGACTTTAAAAAAATGTCTACCGGCGACTAAAAATGTTGAAAAAATTGAATAACGCCAAATCTGTTAGAATTCAAATAGGCAAATGGGGTATCATGGTTTACAGAATTTTATGCTTAATATAAAATTTAAAAAAATATAAAGGTTATACCATTTAAAATAACGAATTTAGTGGTCACTTCCGGTATAACCGGAAGTCGCACATAATTCATTTTATTTTAATTTAAGAGAGCATATTCGATTGTGTATAACCAGATATTGGCGAGAACACAAATTAATGTATTCTTCATAAAGTTGTAATGCCCGCCATACGTGGACACAGTGTAGATACTTGAATTTGGGACACATTGTATAGGTACGACTTTTACAATATTCCCTTTTTACCTCCATCCTGAAATACTTTTTTTAAGCTCTATGGGAATTGAGAGGTATCAACTTTATAACAGTGAAAACGTGTTGTAACTAAATCATTCGAGTATTGCATGATAGAAAAACAAACCTTTTTTAAAAAGCATGCAACATGCATGCAATAACCCTCCACCCTCCATTTGCATTCACTATTAATCCCCTTTTTTATTTTAGTTTTCTACCCAGACGTGAAAATGCAAGTGAAAACTGAGGCGTTTTACAAATGTGATATTTGCCACAAAATGTATAAATACTCACACTCATTGAGCAGACATCGAAAATATGAGTGCGGCAAGCAACCGTCTTTTGAATGCTTCGTCATAGGGTGCAAATACAAGTCAAAAAGGAAGGACAACCTCAATGCTCATGTCAGGACATTGCATCTCAGAGAATTGAATATTACTTAAGTGATTTAAGGACCGTGTACTCAATAAAAGGTTTTCTTTGTTGTGCATGGAGCTGCAGAGCTGGAATCGTTGTATATTAATCAATTTTGAGCCCTCAAGCAAAATCCTTTGTGTTCCTCAAAATGCTCAAAATTTTCAATTAGAGTTTTAGGTCTAGTTTTTGTCACATTTTTTTATTTAAATGGTATCGCTTTCTGGATAGAAAAATCTACTGATTTGAAATTTAGGCTAAAAAGGCTTGACAAATTATCTGTTTCACAAAGTTCTAGCTCCATGTACGATGAGAGTCTGAAATATATTTATTTTTACATCATTACTGAATGATACAAATAAGTAACTTTTTTAAGAAAAATATGCAAATATTTTGTTTAATATTTAAAAAAAAAATGCAGACTGTATAATATTAATACGCTGGTCATTTTATTATTATCTAGTATGCTATAGATTTTTCTTAATCCTTAGGATGACTGTTTTATTGTGATGACGTCATCCGTTTCATTTTAGCCATTGTATCTATAGCTCAATCAATAAAGCGTTCAGTACAGGGGTTGCCTGTGAAAAATTATAATAAAGCTAAAAATTGGTATGTTGGTCCAGTTCGATGTCCTGATATTCCCTTCTCAGTTGCTCCCGATCTATCTGGCTTGCATTTTTCGGGGTATTTAAAAAAGGAATAATTCTTGCCCAGTCTTTAACTAGAGGATAGTTATGAGAAAAAAAACTGCAAGTATACTATCCTAGTATTTATAGTTTACCATCTACTCTAGAACGTCCTGAAGATGGGCATATTTTGTCGGCCCCATGTCTTGCACTGCTTTCATTTCGCAAGCGCTATAGGCCTAAAGAATTGTATTGAAATTTTTCTAAATCGGTATCATACCAGAGGAACTATATTAGTTTTTTATTTGGGCCGATATGGAATGGCAAGTACTCAAAATCGGCTGATGTTTGTAAATTTCATCAAAGTTACCCCTATTTTGTTACACTTATAATTTTACTTGAAAAGCATCAGAAAAAGAAATGTTTCCAGATAATTATTTAGAAGTTTAGTAGAGTTTATGTTTCCCAAAAAGTTTATTTTTAATGGTGATACTGTATGACTGAGACGCCTATAAAGCCGCTCGGTCGTTTGGTCAAGAAAATCAGAAAATTTAAAAGTTGTAGAGCGCTGAAATGTTGCAGGGATACTTAAATAAATCGCATCTTCAGAAGAACAATGACACAAGTGTAAAAAAAATCAATTGCCCAGATATGACAACTTAAGTTTTTTTTTGTTTATTATAATTGGTTAACTAAGCAACAGTGATCCTGCAGATAATGAAGAAACCTATAATATAAGGCGAATTTATTCATATAGCGTATTCAATTTCCAGAAGTTTTCGAAAAATAAGCAACTTCCACCTAGCGAAGTCAGTGACCTTCCATTTAAGTCATTGATCTTCACTGGCATAATACTTTTAACATCTATGAAAGGTAACCTATCAAGAAACAGGTATTATAAAAAAATTAATATAATAAAAACCTTATTACTAATAATCATTACAATTTTAAACTATAGATCAACAATGCCTTACGAAAATCCTTAAACAGATAAGAAGTAACATCGTTAAAGTGAGGCAAAACGGTATTCGTATATTTAAGTAAATGAAAACGACTTATCTTCTCCCTACCGGCACTCGTGCGTTCTACATTTAGGTCGATCGGTCCTATTTGAAAGAATTATTATTTTTGACACGTTTGACAAATTTAACACAACACTTTTGCGTCATTATTCTTCTTAAGGTGCGAAATGCTCTGATAAACATATCTGAATTTTAATCGAATGGTATGCTAGCTTACTTCGAAGAACTTTTTTTCAATAATAATCTCGCCTATTTCACTGTTTCCAACTTTAATTTGAAGCCTGTCCAGATAAAGTGGGAAATATGATTTGGGAAAACTACGAAAATCTATATCACGATTCTAAATTCCAAATCTCTAAAAATTTGAATTATCGCCACCAGAAGTGATTTTCATATGGTCTCATTGAGTTTCTTCCCAAATTCATCTTGGAGCTGGTAGCTCCAAGCAGAGAGAATCTTAGTGATGGTAAAGGGGCCTGTAAATTTGGATGCTAAATTTGCTGTCACATTCTTAGCTTTGTCTGACCTGAAACATCTCTGGCCTTTTCCCTTCCTGGTATATCAGAATGCGTATCAAAAGCCTCATAGAACCTTGACCTCAACAGGTAGTAGAAAATCTGCAAATCTTCAGAATTAGAATTGTGCATGGATTTCAAATAATTATTTTTCTTCATCGGTATTCAAACGTTCGTACAGAACTAGATATAGAGCATCTACATACATTCTTGAAAAAAATGTAGCAATAACTCATCTACGTTATTGTTTCGGTATTGCTTCTTGAAATAAAAAGCTTCATCGAGCATTTTATTATCCACGAACAAGCTAATGGACGTCAAAACGTCTTTTTCATCCGAAATTCACGAACAAACTAATGGCCGTCGTCCGAAATTGGCAGTTTTCTAATTTTCATGTACAACAAAGCGAAATTAGGTTGTTTGTTGATCAATAGCGACCTCATTGCTATGGTGTGGGGCCAAGGTTGAAGATCCTCGCCCAATACGAAAGTATCTATAAGTTGAGCCATCGCTGTGGCGAAATTTCGGTGATCGTGCTGCCAAAAACTTGAGTTATTTTAAAAACGCCGGGGTTTTCATCACATAAGTTACCACCGATGAATACCTGCAATAAGAATAAAATATCGGAATATAACTCTGATCTAGCGCTATAGCTAAATCCAAAAAGAAATAAATAACCAACGAATGCGGCTCCATCCACCAAGTAAGTTCTTAATAAAGACTGCAATGACGGCGTGGATACAAACCGTTACCTTCATCTTCCTCCCAGAAATTTGACAATTTACTACCGCTGCACATTTTAGTTACCAAATTATCTATAAACAATAAGCTCTCGCTGGATTTAAACGATTCTTTGGTCAAAATGCAGAGCTCGGCACGTTTTCCTTTTATAGTATTCGGTCAGTTCTTAAACAGGAAAGGGGGCGCTGATCCTTTCCGAATCGTCGGGACGTAGGTAAGTCGAGGGGTGGCATTCAGGAAGCAGCCCCACCTTCACGAGCCATCGGATAACCTCAAAATGTATAGAATCTAGCTCCAATCTAGTCCAATGCTCGTTAATCGCATCCGTGTCGTATACGTAGCTCACTAATTTCTCATCGACATGTTTATTTAAGACGCACAAACTGCTCAATTGCGTCGTACAACTGTTTAACAGAACGCTAAAATTGGCGTCAAACTTAGATTGTGAGTAATCAAAGAGAGGGGCGAAATATTCATCGCAATTTGCTTTAAGATCGATGGCTCTTTGAAAAACCCATGTTATGAGGAATTCCAAAGAGTAACATGGCGAAGAAAAACTGCTGTTGGCATATTCGGAAGCGCATTTGCACAACCACCTTATTAACTGATGCTACAACGCTACATTCAAGATAAATTCTTTCTGCTATTCGATAGTTGGAGGTTTAATAGGATGTATGTACACGAACATCGGCGTCAAACCAATCGTAATGGCTTGATGATACACATTGGCAGGTCTTTTAAGAGACAAAGGACCGGCCGACTCGATTTGGGCCTACAGCGATTTCTGCAAGCCTTAAGAAAACATCAAGATAATGAAAACGAAGTAGGTAAAAAGTGTTCCTTCACTTTTTGCACTGTGTCAACGATTTTTCGTTCAACAATACTTTTAATATTGGTGCTGGTTTGTGCCCGATTCAGTGAGACTCGTCCTTATGATGTAATTGTAGCAGTTGTTCCATTTCGTGAAGGTCGGCGTTTTTTCCGAGCACCATTGGTTGATATCGAAAATTAATGAGCAGGTTTCAGTGCTGATTCTGAAAACCAAACCGTCTATGATATGAGACAAAGAACTAAAGTGTCACAAGCGGGTAAAAGTGAAAAAGAATCTTCGCTGGTAGTGTGTTTGGTTATCGGTTGAATTCCGATACAGTGACCTCCTTTTGGTAATTCTAGGCCACTGTGTTCTTCAATTAGCCCCAATTTTATTCGATGACTAATACTACAACGAATTTATTCAGAGTTAGTACTAGAATGTCACGATGTTTTGGCTGAAGTATTCATCAACAACGTGGTCAACTTAAGATGGATCAAAGGTCACGCCACATCGAAAGGTAACCGTCTTGCTGATTCACTGGCCAAGAACGCAGCCAACCAAATACTTTTTGGACCTGGCCTTTCTATTGGCTTGACAAAATTGGTAGTGACAGACCTAATTAAAAAACATTCCCTTGTAAAATTCAAGGAAAGATGGGATGAAACAAGAAATTGCAGAGTTGCGAAGGAGCTTTTAAGTTATCCTGACAACACTGCAGCAAATAAATACTTGACTATGATTAGACAGAATCTGCGCCTAGTAACAGGCATTTTGACTGGTCATTGCCAAGTACGGAAGCATATCCATATTATGGGGCTGTCAGAATCCGCACTCTGCAGAGGGTGCGAACAAGAAGATGAGACCATCGAGCATATCCTCTACGACTGTATGACGCTCTCATTTATTAGGAGATTTGTGTTAGGCGAGTATCGGCTAACTCCAGCCGTTATAAGAGAAGATAAGAGGCACCTCTTGGCGACGTTGTCAACTACATTAAATCTGTAGGTTGGCTCACGAGCTAAGAGGTGCCTATCGTCTTAGGAGGATCCACAATGGCCTAGTGAGGCCTAAATGCCGTGGAGGTAACGCACCCTCCACACGTTACAGATACTACAACAGTGGAAATCCTGGTATAAATACTCATAATCTTCGTGACACTCTTTGGATTTATAACGCAGTGCGTACATTACGGCTAATGGCAACCCTGCTTGGAAAGGCTGAGTATTACTGCATGATACCCAAATGTAATAATCCACTTTAAGGACGTCTTTAGGTTCTTGGAAAGCAAAATTTGTAACCGCTATATCTGTTTTGGGAACCGGAGATACGTAGACTTGTTAAATTCCAAAGCTGGAAGGCGCCGAAATTATAGCCTATTAGTAAATAAATAAGTTGCAAGCAATAATATACAGCGCTTATTATAACTTCTTCTTTATTTACATGTATATGATCGTTACCTTTAGTATTTTTAAGCACAAAATGGTATGTGGTAGTCTCAAAAACAGCATTCAAATGAATACCAAGGTGTTTACCATCTTTGACAGATTTTTCTTTATAATGTTCAATATTCGAAATATGCTTAGCAGTTAGAAATACAATTTGAAAAGGGTCATCTTTTTTATGGTAAAACGCAACGATTCCTCACATATTTGTCTACATATATCTATTAAAATTACATCACCTCCTTGTGTACCTATTGCTAGAATTCCATCAAAGTTTCCTAAATGACCATGTAAGTTTAGATCTTCTTTTCCTGGATCAATGACATGCAGAGATATCTTACGATCTTAGAACTAAAAACATCAATAATACAAATACTCCCACCGCTTATCCTATAAGGAGCGAAATTCCCCCATTCGGTCTTCGTAGTTCTCCAACACACACAATTTTTATGTTCGCATCTTTTAGAATCCCTCTAAAAACCTAATCTATCAACTTTATGGCCCGGTTTTGTGTTTCCAACTTCCATAACTTGCCAAATATAGTGGGCATCTTGTAACACCCCTCCTAACAATATTAAATCATCGGTGAATTGTGGATTTGTATTATATAGGGGCACGTAATTTAGACCTTCTTGTCAGCTTTTGCTTTGAGTTTGGTGAAGTGGTTTTAGTGCCAGTTTTACTCCCTTGGGACTAAAATATTTTAGTCCAAAGGGATTAAAAAATTTTCACTAATGAACAAAAATTTAGATCTTGATATTTCTTTTATCAACCGTTAAATGTATATAACTCCAGTACTCTTATATAAATGTGTGTTTTATGATATTTTAATTTTTTATATTTAGATTTTTAAGACTGAATTTTTAATTTTACTTAAACTTTATATTTTTTTTTGTAAAAAAAGAATCTCTTTAGAGTAGATTTTTCAAATCTTTATGTAAACATATTTTTGTATAGTCATACTTAGATTGTAACGTTTTCAAAATTTGTTTTTTTAACAATTTGTATTCGAAATATAGAAGAAAATATATGTATGACATTAATTTGTTGCTTTATTCATGGTAGTAAGAAGATGTAAGTAAATTTAAATATATAAATTATATAAAAACAAGACTTATTTTAAGATATACAGGGTGTTACTTTTTTTCTGGAAAATAAAAATGCGTATTTTTCAATTTTATAATGATCTGGTAATACTGTATTTAACTCTAGAATGGTTTTAAAAAATATTGCACAGTTACCAGGCAATGTTTTGTGAAATTAGAGGATGATGCAGAGCCCATATTAAATTATTAGAGGTTAGCAATGATTTAAAAATTATTTGAAATACGGACTTATAGGATACCAAGCTACCAGTGCCTAATTGATCGATAGCTGTTTTATTATTGGAAATACAAAAAAATATATATATAAAAGTTGGCCATATTTAACAATTATTCTTAAATATACAGGGTGATATTTAAACGAGGGGCTGACCAAACTTATACTTTTTTAAAGCAAAACACCCTGTAGGAAGTAACACATATTTGATTATTTTGTGACAGGCTCCTGGTTCACCTACAGTGAATCAGCGAGTCTGTGTGGCGCTTTGAAGGTGAATCCCGAATAGGGGTTGCTCAGGCGCCAGTTTTGGTATCGCAGTTTGCTCTGCGACCCACCAGTGTATACTCAAAGTGAACTCAGTGGAGGTAAAAAATAATTCCAGGCGGTCACTGCTAGGTAGCCACTATACTAGAATAAATAAAAAAAATAAAACACTTATCTACTTTACACCTCGTACCCTACGGTACCCTGAAAGAGAACGGTTAAGAACCAGTAATAAGAGAAACACAGGAATAGGTAGTAAAATACATATTTACAAAAAAATAATACAACGGTAATTAAATATGAACGGCTCCCTGTATTCGGAAAATCTTATTAAAAATAAATTATTACACTTGAAAACTAATTAAATATTAACGGCTCCCTATATTCGGAAAATTTACTAAAAATAAATTATTAGATCTGAAAACTATTTAAATATTGACGGATCCCTATATCCGGAAAATTTATGAAAAATAAATGATTACACTTGAAAACAATTTAAATATGACGGTAATCAAATGCAAGCAAATAAATGAAATCAAAGTTATCGGAACCCCCTCGTATCTTAACCACGAGCGATGGGAAGGGAAAATTTTCGTCTAGTGATAAATATGGTTATTTACGCAGTGTTTTGGACGGCGGACAGACGATCGTAAAAAATAATATTTTGAATTTTGCCCAGAGTCGATCGAGAGCGTGTGTGTGAATTTAATTTCACAGACGTCGTCTGGCTTCATTCAATAACTAATTGTGGACGGGGGAACGGAATGATTCAAATACGGATGAATAAAAAAATTTAAATAAAAGAAATTTTACACGAAGTGAGGCGCGGAAATTAATTTAAACGTCTTTTTGGGAAATTAGATAACGTCATCAGGAGAGATAAACTTTTCCGAAATCACGGCATTAGGTACTAACTAAGGGTGAACAGTTTTCGGCTGTCGGCAATCAAGAGGAAGAGCTTACGGCGGCCGGCAAGCAAAAGAGGGCGTAATTCCCAAATGTCATTTAATTTAGGCTTTTCGGTAAAGCAAGATGGAAGACCAGTAAGCCCGAGTGGGGGATACCACCACTACAGCTGACTGTTTACAATTTAGAAATATAAAAAATGTCCTTCTTGTAATAAAAGGTAGATAATCGGTACGAAATCGACTCTACAAAATGCCCATTCGGATTTCACAAATATAAGAATATTTTAATCTACGAGGGTACTCGCAATTGTTGAAAAACGGTAATTCCTGGGAAACAGAAATACGGGGGAACTTCTACATGTTCTCAGGCGGGAATTAATTAAAATATACATTTTTAAATTAATTGAGAGCAAAATTTAGTGACTTCGTCACAGTTTTTACATCGTCAAACAATTTTGATAGACTTCCATTCGTTTGCTATTTTGAAAATAGGGTGTGCTAAAACGAGATGAGAGTTTCTTAATTTTTTAAATGGATTACCCTGCATGTTATACCACTAATTATAATTTCTTTGATTTTAATTTTTTTTGCATTACTTATAACGATGGTTTATATTACTTGTGACGTCCACTATTTCTGAAAAATGGGTTGACAAATAATTTAGGCGTTTTTTTTTTTGAATCGTTTGACTTTTTGATTCGTAATTAATTCAAGACATCTCTCTGTTACAGTCTTTGAGTTTTACCTCTAATTACCAAGATGTTTTAAACCTAGAGCTACTGATGACAATATGGAAACAACATTTTTATTTTAAGAGAAATTAAGTTGAAAATAGTATTGTTTTATTTCAAGAATTATGTATACGAAATGCAAAACAAAATAAAAAATCTGATGTGTCCAACACATGACTTTCCTATCTAGTTATTTCAGGCTTTTTCCGTTTATTGTGTACAACCTATTGCAGCATCTCTATAAATCTTTAGAGGATAAACTAAATATATACATTGTCCACATACATCTACCGCAAAACATTTTTCTATAGATATTCATTGAAAATGAAAATCCTGAAAAATTTAAATTTAGCACTTTTCCTACAATTTTTCCATTACGGTCCATTTAAAAAAAATCATGTATGAACAAATATTATAGAGATCGATATCGCAAACAACTTTTATTTCAACAATTTTCATAAAAATCAGAATTTTGCACATTTTGTCAAATTTCTCGAATACGGACCATTTCAGGAAATTTTTACATAAAACAAAAATTATAGATAATAATATTAGAAGTAACTTTTATTTGAACAATTTTCTTCTCCAAACATAAATAACAGATATATTCCATAAAATATAAAAACGGCCTCCCATAAAGTACCCCCCAGATGTTCCGACTTTATCCAAAATCTAATCATTTCACGACAGGCCGAAATAACACTTAAGTTTAAAATTTAATGTTTTTTTCTTTGTCCGTTTTTGAGTTTTCTTTAAATTTCGAAATTTACACATTTTCTCAAATATCTCGAATACGGTCCATTTTAGAGAAATTATTTATGGGACAAAAATTATAGAGAATTATATTACAAACAACTTTTGTTTGAACAATTTTTATAAAAAAAAATATTTTTTTACATTTTGTCAAATTTCTCGAATACGGACCATTTTAGGAAAATTTTGTAAATAACAAAAATTGTAGATAATAAAATAAGAAGTAACTTCTATTTAAAAAATTTTCTTCCCCAAACGTAAATAACAGATATATTCCATAAAATATAAAAATGACCACCCATAAAGTACCCCCCCAGATGTTCCGACTCTGCCCAAAATCTAATCAGCTCATTAGACGCTGGAATAAAGCTTAAGTTTGAAATTTGGTGTTTTTCCGTGTATCGGTTCATGAGTTATGCGTTATACAGACACACACACACAGACACACACACACACACACACACACACACACACACACACACACACACACACACACACACACACACACACACACACACACACACACACACACACACACACACACACACACACACACACACAGACACACACACAGACATCATCGCAAAAATAGTCAAAACGGATTCAGGGGACCTCAAAACGTAAAAATCCGTCGAAAACTCGAGGTCGAAAAAAATCATGATTCCTATACTTTCCTTATATCTGTATACAGATAGGAAAGTAAAAATTAAGAAATGTATTTATGAATTGGTGGTATAACAAAAGTATTGCATTTGAAAAAATTGAGAATATCGTAATTTTGCGTTTAGTTACACAATGTATGCATCAAATAAAAAACATTTTAGGAATTTTAAGTCTATTAAGATTGTTTAACGATGTGAAAACAACCAAATCTGTTGTTCTGATGGTTTGATCTAAAAAAAGTATAATTTTGGTTCGCTCCTCATTTATGGACTACCCTGTAGATTTAAGAACGCTTGTACAATATCGTCCTCAACAATTTTTTTAGCGTTGAATGTAGTATTACTAGACCATTCCAAAACTAAAATAATTTACAGGATGTTCCATTTAAAAAATATACATTTTTATTTTCCACGCAGAAACGTAACATCCTATAAATCCAAAAATATTTTTAAAATATGCCTTTTTCAAATCCATATAACTTTTATTCGAAACTTGTTTGTGTATCTATAAAACAAATTGAATTACCGAGCAATTACGCACTAATGGGACACCCTGTATACATTAATATACTCAAATTTAAAATAAGATAAATATTTGCAAAATTTCCAGGACCATCAGAGAACCCTAAATAATGCGATAAAAGCTTTTTTTGTAAATGTTGGAAACATTGTCAATTAGCAGAAGGCTTTTAAATTCGATAATTTGACTTGTATAACATTTTATTTTGTTTTTAGCCCAATATAGAACATTTAAATGCAATCACTGCTTTAATTCCTATTCTGAACTACAGTCATTTGCAATGCACCAAAGGTACTCGTGTGTGACGGCTAAACAAAACTGTAAATATAATTGCTCTGTGCCAAAATGTCCTTACAGGACGAATTTCAAGTTCAATTTTAGACGACACGTCCTCACGCATATTAACCGAGGTGAAACAATTGATAAAAGTTTGTTAGAGTTATTAGAATTTATTAAATAGTTTTAAAATATCGTTGTGTTTTATTATACGTGAAAAATATGACATAATCATTTACATTATTTATACCAAACATCGTGTAGATAGATTTAATAATAGTACATCTAATTTATTGATTTCTAGGTTATTATCTGACATTTGGTGAGTAATTTGGTTGGGACAAAATGTTTGGTAAATAATTTCAATTTACCAATGGTAGGTACACTCAGGTACGAGTATCAGGGTGTGATGAATAATTTCCAGCCTGAACATTTATTTATGGTTTTATTTAATGTCATATCTCATTAGATTTTCTGTGAGATATTGTAAGTTTGTGTCCAGTCCTGCTATACTATGTTCAAAGTTTTTAGAAAATGCAGATACGAGCTGTCATACAATATTTTCCCATTAAAGTATTTAAGAATAACGTTTTTAATATTACAATTAGAGAATCATGAGTATTTTTTTTAAATTATAACTAATAGTACTTAAACAGTTTTTATTATTTCTTTGTTTGGTTATAATAATAAACTCAAAAACCTCATTACAAAAAATCAATAAAATTATAACCTACAACTACTTTAAAACTAATCAAACAAATTATTAATATCTTCTATTTAACTGCAAAAATAGAACACTTGTAATAATACCTTTTGAATTAGTCGTTTCAAGTATTTAAAATGCTAAATAGGTGTAAAATAATATAAATTCAATATACAATACCCAAAAAATCTAAATTAAAAAAAAATAGTACAAAAAAGATAAAAATACTGAAAAATCAATTAAAAACAACTGAAAAATGTTAAATACAATTTAAAATAAGTAAGTCTGATTAAAGAATACAATAGAGTTTCAAAAAAATGTTAAAACCATAACATTTTTTAACAGCAAAACTCAAACACTTGTTATAACACGGACAAGAATCAGAAGAAACCCTTTTGAATAGATATAAAATAATATTTGTACCTGCATCGTGGAAGGTGGGTTACTTCACGGCACTTAGGCTTCACTAGGTCTATTGTGCATCTTTTTAAGATGATAGGTTTCTCCTAGTTCTCGGAAGCGCTAGGCTTTGATTTAATTACTGGTAAAATCTTGAAGCAATTATCTAGAAAAGATATTGTCATTGCTTATAGATTGAACCATATTTCTGCATGCTGGAAAGTTGCAGAGGTAATAATGTTGCCAAGCCAGGAAAACTGCCGAATGACGTTAAGTCTTATAGGCCTGTTTCTGTCTTACCAATTGTGTCAAACATATTTGAAAAATTGCTGCTAAAGACATTTGATACCTGATTTCCAATTCGGATTTCGACAGAATAGAGCCATGCACTTGAAAGAAAAAAATCTGCAGTATTTTTAGACGTTGCCCAAGCCTTTGACATGGTGTGGCTTAAAGGTTTGTAACTAAAAAATGCCTCCTAAGCAATATGTACAGATTATAACATCATATATCTGAGACAGGCTTTTTAGCATCAAGAAGTAAGACGAATATTCTAATTTAAAGGAAATAAGAGATTGAGTATCTCAAGGACGTGTTCTTGGACCCGTCTTATATTTACTCTATACTAGTAACTTGCCAACTCTGAAGGACATGACTGTACCTACATTTGCTGATAATACTGCTAGAAAGATCAGTAAGAAAATCTCAAACTGCTAGCTCTAGTTAGCTGGACCAATCAATGGAGAATTAGGCTTAATGAACTTAAGTCTATTCATGTGAACTTCACTAATAAAAAAATAGTAGAAGCACTTTCTCTAAATATCAACGGAAAGATAGTACCTCATGAGCTGAATGCAACGTACCTTGTCATGACCCTTGATGTCAAGTAACTGTGGAAAGTACATGTTAAGAAGAAGAAGAAGAAGAAGAAGAAGAAGAAGAAGAAGAACTGAATTGGGATTAAACTATAAATAGCACTACTGGCTCTGGGGGCAGGAATTCAATACTGTCATTACACAATAAAATATTAATCTACAACCAGGTTACAACACCGGTATGGCTTTACGGCATTCAATTATGGGAATGTGCCAGAGATAGCAACATTAAGTATATCCAAACCTTTCAGAACAAAGTATTGCGCAACATAGTGAACGCTCCGTGGCATGTGTGCAATGCAGATCTTCATCGAGATCTTGGGATTCCAACAGTGAAAGAAGAAATCAAAAGATTGTCTGGCAAACATGAAGCCAGACTTCACCTACATAGAAGCAGAAGCTCTTTAGCTGCTGGTCAATCAGGACCATGTACGACGATTGTAGAGGACCAAGCCATTTGATCTCGTATAGTGTGTTGTGTATGTGTGAAAGCAGAGCTTAGTGAATGAGTGACTTGTATATGGTAGTTAGAACAATCTAATGAAGATTGATGGATTGACTTTAGCTGATAATTTAGTTTAAGATTGTTTCAGAACAAAGTTAATGGATAGTCCATGAGACTAGTTTTAATGGCAGGCACCATAAAGTGTCAAATGAAAAAATAACCTAGCTGATGAATCGAATTACAGATTTGATGTAGTTGACAACGTCGCCAAAAGATGCTTCTTTTATATCGACCGAAAACAAATATTCTAATAAATGAGAGAGTTGGGAAATCCTAGAGAATATGCTCGATGGTCCCATCTTCTTGCTCGCATCCCCTGTAAAGTGTGGACTCTGACAGCCTCATGATATGGACATGCTTCCATACTTACCAATTACCAGTCAGGATGCATGTGATTAGACGCAGATTTTGTATAATCATAGTCATGTATTTTTTTGCTGTAGTGTTGTCAGGATAATTTAAAAGATCCCTGGCAACTCTGCAGCTTCTTGTTTCATCCCATACTTCTTTGAATTTTACAATCGAATGTTCCTTAATTGGGTTTGTCACTACCAATGTTGTCAGACCAATAGAAGGGCCAGGTGTAAATAAATGAAAATTCATTATAAAATAGCTGAGAATCCTAAAAAAAAATGTACAAAAACTAAAAATGTAGATAAATCTAGAAAAAAAAAAACTAAAATTGTGAATAAAAAAATATAATAGAGGTTTATTAAATATTTAAAAATCTTACCATAGCAGAAATTGAAGTTGAGCTGCATTCTACTTTAGATGAGCCTGCTTCATCATTTTCAACGGTCAAAACATGGATTTCAGATTTTAAACATGGCCGTATAAGTACTAAAGATACAGAGGAGCATCCAGATAGCCCAAAGTCCGTCTACTGAAGTTTGTGCAAATAGGTGAGGATGTGGGGATTTCAAAAGAACAAATATTTCATTAAATATGCGAAATTTTGGACATTGGAAAGCTCTGCGTAAGAAGGATGCTGGGATTGCTCAAATCGGAGCAAAAAACCATTCGCATGAACGTTTCATAAAAGTGTTGTTACCCAATAGAGTTTTGTGATCAGATTTATAACTATGGACGAGAATTGTGTTCACCAGTACACACCGAAAACCAAACGGCAGTTAAGACAATTGACAGTTAAAGGTACACTAATCCCAAAGAAGTCGAAAACGGTTTCATTGACTGGAAAGGTTATGGCGTCAGTATTTTGGGATGCAATATTTTTATTGATCACCATAATAGAACGTCAATAATATGCTAACTAGCTGCAACAAAAAAATTTGAGAAAAAACCTGGATTCTAAGTGAATGCACTTATAACTGCCGCTTTTGCTGCACTATAAAGGAATTGAGAGTTTACACTGATAATAAATAGGGCCCTGATTGGCCAAATTAAAGACTTCAAATTACCTGGTGTGGAGTGATTCCGGTAATCACTTTCCCTGCTTTCTTTGATTCACATATATTACTTTACACAGTTTATTAATTTTAAAATTTGACAATGAAGTATCACAAAACATCGTCGAGTATTAAAATTAAATGAACAAATAGTAATACTTGGTAACTACATTGCTTGAGATAATAAAAGTAATAAATGCAAACTTACACTGCAAGCCTGTTTATTAAAATGAAATGTTTTACATGTTGTTTGGTGTGAAAAGCAATCTGCTAAATACCGTCGAAGGAAATTTTGGCCGGCGATCCGGCTTGTATGAGATTAACTGATGATCTGTTGGCATAAGGAATTGTCACTGATTTTAATGCACTTCCCCTATCAATGTGCCTCGTTTTTTCTAGAAGCTTGGTCACATGTGTTATAGCAGGGGCAGAAGTTGGAAAGGCTTTTTAGGTTAAACCACGTCACGACTTCGAGAATCGCATGTATTTATGGACTAGAAATTATTATTAAACAATATTATAATATCCCAAATCATAGTTCTACAAAATTTCAACAGCTATTCACAACCCGAAATTGTTACATTTATAAAATAATTTTGTACGCCAATGTATCGCGTCTACTTCGGTTAGCTTCGCCGCAAAAATGTAAATTTCTGTTTATGAAGTGGGAGAACCACGAAAAGCCTTTCCAACTTCTGTCCCTGCTATATTTAACGCGGTTTTAAAAACTAGTTTGTTTTATGCGTGCAAGAGAGAGATATAGATTACTTATCCAACACTGCTCGGCGTGCTAGTTATTATTATTTTTTATATTTGGATTATCAATTAAATTAATATTAGTGATTGAATAGATTAATTAATATTGAAGAGTTAATTGTAAGAATATTAATTGATTGATTGTTTTGACAGTCAGGTCTGGGCTAGCCTGATGTTTTAAATAAATTATGTTGGATATATTTCCAACAATAACAGATGCTGCCAAATATAATTTGTTAACTCGATCTGGCACTGCAGCTAAATGATGTGTCGGTATCGGTAAATGTGGAAACGCCCAATAGAAGCGGCATAAAAGATCTTGAATTTCGTTGGGCAGTAAATTGAGCGAAAAGGAGAATATGACAAATAATAAAACGATGTTTCACTATCTCTTGGGCTGGAAATTATTCATTCTATCCTCGTACATGAAAACTAGGATTAATAAATAGAAAATGATCCTGTAAAACTATCCCATTTTTT